TTCCCGTTTGAATGGTCTTACACTAGTAATTTTTGGAGCCCTTTATAACTTGCTGTTCGGTGTGAGCCAAGGCTCCGTGTTGAAGACCGTACTTTGACCTATAATGGTTTACTTTTATAAATTTTGACTTGGATGAAGAGTTGTCTCATTGGCGCTCATACCACATCTTCTTATAACTGCTGACTCTTACCAAATGTACGATAACGTTGCAGAATAATTCTTTCATGTTTTATTTCTAATACTCATTCATTCATTTTTTATGCGACTGTCATACAAGTGAGAGGTTTAGCTAGCTATAAAACCAGGTTTAATCCACCATTTCTACATAAGAAAATGCCTGTGCCAAGTCAGGAATATGACATTTGATAAGGGACTGTCCGTTTTAAATTTTCCCTAATGTTCGGTATTTTTGTTATTTTACTTTTTGCTTTTATAGCTTTTATCTTGTTTTTAAAATATTTATTCTTACAGTTGTCATCAAAATTGTCCGGATGGCATAGTCGAAATACGTAAAACTGTAAACCTATTTTCGCGTGTGTAATCAAAAATTGTAGGATCAGTTGTTTCATTTAAAAAGCTATTTGACGTTTATAGAAGTTCGTGTTTTTATATTTAGAATGCATCATTACTATTGATTTAGTTCGTTTATTTGAAATACCACATTATTTTTGTATTGGATGTTTGTTTGTTGCAATATCGCATACTTTATATTAGTTCGTTCATCCGAAATACCAAAATACTTTTCAATTAGCTGTTACCTATTTTGGCAACCTTTTCATGTTATTGATTACTAAAGGTATGATCGATTTTTTTGAAATTATAAAAGTAACGTTTTTTTAAAATAAAGACTTAAAGATAATACTTTTTTTTCAATTGATCACATACAAATATGTTGCACAAACTTAATACATTAATTGTTTACATGACTATATAATCGACTGTTCTTTCCTGTCTGTAACAAGATTAGTTGTAACAAGAGCAAATTCGCCAATTTTAAAAAATTTGAAGAACATGGCACTTTTCAATTAAACATCTAAAAGATATATAAACACATATCAGAGATATATGATTAAATATCAAATTACGTTCTTATCTTTTGCTGATAACGAACAGTGCTCCTTTTATTTATATATAATCAGGAAATAAAAGGCTACTTTAAGATTATGTCAGAAGTACAACTGAAAGTTCTTCTCCTTTAACACATGCGGAACAGAGTCTGCTTATTCTTTTGCAGCACCTGCGATCAGCATCGATTTTTTATTCTAGGCGATAGTGTATTTATGTAATGTTTTATTGACTGTTGATTATCTTATCGTGATTTTTCGCCTTTGTCACGATTTTCTCGGTCTCCCTCGACTTATGGAGATTTGATTCTCCCTTCGGTATCCTTCGGCCCTCATTCTAGCAGCTTTAAAGGTTATATTTCGGACTTCTTTTGAGCTGAGTTTTACTGTGCGTATTGCTGTGTGTTTGTTTATTCTACATTGGTTAGAGGTATAGGGGTAGGGTTGAGATCTCACAAAACATGTTAAACCCCGCCGCATTTTTGCGCCTGTTCCAATTCAAGAGCCTCTGGCCTTTGTTAGTCTTGTATGTTTTTTAATTTTAGTTCATTTATATTTTTTTGAAGTTTTTAGTGTGACGTTCATTTTCATTGAACTAGTACACATTTTTGTTTAGGGGTCAGCTGAAGCCCGCCTCCGGGCGTGGGATTTTCTCGCTGTGTTGAAGACCAATTGGTGGCATTCGGCTGTTTTCTTCTGTTTCTCATTGACACATTTCCCATTTCCATTCTCAATATTTTTTTTATTTTTATAAATACATTGTTAAATATCTTCTATGTAATCTAGGTCGTAAACTCAATATCTTTTAGATTGATTTAAACCTCTAAAAATAGAAATACAGATTAAAAAGGACAGCTATAAAAGCTTGTTAAAATCATCAATAATCTATGCAACATGATTGACAACGAGATGGAAAATTCTTCACTTAAGTGCTCATTGAAATAGTCAGGAAAATGACAGTTGTTGTCCATTCGTTTGATGTGTTTGTGCTTTTGATTTTGTCATTTGATTAGGGACTTTCCGTTTTGCATTTTCCTCGGAGTTCAGTATTTTTGTGATTTAACTTTATTTTTGTATATTCAATAAATTTAACAAACAATTCTCTAACATTGAATTTGATTGAGTCTTAAAATATTAATACTAAGTTTTTTATAAACAAAACAACTGACTATTTGTATAATGTTAACAGTACTTTTTCCATATTTATTTAACATTTGCAAACGTAAATTATGTAAGAGTAATACATTATTATGAGAAAAGGATCATCAGAATAACTGGATCATTAAACTACACACCGAAGCAAATTAAAATCATCCATTCCAAACTAAATGCCGTCTAAATGGATACTGGCCTAACATTACAAAGCATCCATTATCCACAATCGTATCTGTACCGTCTTTCTGTAAGCTTGCTCATAATGTTATTATCCCTGGGATTATTTTCTTACCAAACGACCGATAAAGAAAACATTCACAAACATTCGAAAACAAAAATTCACTGCAATCATCCATGCAGTGTACACTGATTGAGATGGCTTGATAACACCAAGCATACTTGTCTGTTAAATATGGCTTGTCTATTTCATGATTTAAAACCGGTTTATAGAAACGAATCCAGGTGCTCAGCTGACAGTCAATTTTAAAAAAAATATACTACTCTTCAAACCAGTAAAAGTTTGAAATGGCCTATTACTGTACTCGACTGTACTGATTTTTACCTGACCAGTCCGAATTGGTCTGAATTTTACTCGAAATTACTCGACCCCAATCTTAAACATACTAGACTGTACTGATTTGTACTGTACCTATCTTTGCCATTGGAAAAAGTCTGAACTATGTGTTATGTCTTATCGTTTTTGGTTTGAATTCTATTTCTATTTTCAATATTTTAAACAAATCCGGGTCACAAACCAAAACCGAGAGAAACACATCAACGATAAGAGGAAAATAACGGAACAACAGAAACACTAAACTGCAACAAAAACAAACCCAAACATACATAGGAACAGACTATTTGATTACAACTGCCATACTCCTGACTTGGTACAGGACATTTTAAGAAAAAAATGGTCGGTTGAACCTGGTTTTTTGGCAAGCCAAACCTCCCGCTTATATTGCAATGATAAAAAAAAACCGTTAAATTGACAACATGACGTGACAGGAATACAGTACAAATAAACGCAAGAACACTCAGGACAGTGGACCACATAAAAAATGATATAATAGTACTTTACAACATGTCCACTTGAAAAAGACTGTGTAATCTGATGTTCAGTAGTTGTCGTTTGTTGATGTGGTTCATAAGTGTTTCTCGTTTCTCGTTTTTTATATAGATTAGACCGTTGGTTTTCCCGTTTGAATGGTTTTACACTAGTAATTTTTTGGGGCCCTTTATAGCTTACAGTTCGGTGTGAGCCAAGGCTCCGTGTTGAAGACCGTACTGTGACCTATAATGGTTTACTTTTATAAATTTTTACTTGAATGGAGAGTTGTCTCATTGGCACTCATACCACATCTTCTTATATCTATGTAATATAAAAAAGAATTTCTGGAAACGATTCATAGATTTATTTTAAATACCTTTAAAGACACGATTTTTTGTCTTTTTTTAATATTTATATCATATTATATTTAAATTCTTTAGCATTTAAATTTCCTGCCATGACTAACATTACCAAGAACTAATGAGAATATTTCAAATTCATTTAACCGAAAGCCTAATTTATTACGTGATATGTTTTTAATCCGACCAGAAATCACTTCTTCTGATCATTTTGTTTTTATTTTCATTTTAGAGGTGATATATATATATATTTATCAGTGTTGGTTAATATGGTGTTGATATATATGATTACATTATGTGTATTGTGAAATATTGGTTTCAATGTTATATTAAATAATTATGTTTTGGGATTTCAAGTTATTGCTCAAATTTATAGCCAAGGTGTTATGCGACTTTAATTATTTTGATTTTTTACATTGGCCTAATTTGTTCTGTGTTGCCTTATAAGATGTTTACATAATTGAGTTGTGACCTATCTATAGTTGTTTATCGAATTATGTTAATGTGTAGTTTAGAAATCACTGGAACAATCGTAGATGCTAATGGAATGATTAGAATTTTCTATTTGATTTGCATGATAATTCCAGAATGATTATAATCTACGATGCGTAATTTAAACGAAGTGTTCTAGAAGTTTCCCTTCTACAGTGTTCTAGAAGTTTGTGAGGTAACGATATATATAGACGCTGAATTGTACTAAGATACAGAAATATACAAGTATTCAAAAAAGATTTTTCGAGTTTTTGGATTGACACTTTTATTTACGTTATCAACATTATACTAGTTTGTGAACTAATTGGACATATATATTCCGTTTGATTCCGTTACAGCTAAGAGTAGAATTCCGGATAAAGAAAAGACTAGGATTGGACATTCAGATATCTTAACAGTTAAGTTAACATTTCTATTTGTATATTATTTCTTGTAAAATTGTATAATAAATCTTGTTCAATTATTTATTGATTTTTGTCTTTTGTTGGCCATAATTTTAATGTGATTTATGGCCGTAACAATACAGAAATAGGTTTTAGTTGTTGAAGGCTTTGCCGAGTATGGTTCAGACTAAATCGATAATGGTTCAGCCTAGGTTTAGAATAATTAAGACTTAGTCGAGTATGATTCAGACACGTATAAAGTGGTTAAGTACTGGTCGAGTAAAGTTTAAGTACACGTTCAGACTGTTAAGCATAGTTCAGACTAAAGTCGATAAATATCGAGCAAAGACTAGACCAATTCAGACTGGTCGAGTAAAAATCGGTACAGTCGAGTAGAGATATAGGCCATTTTAGACTTTTATTGGTTTGTAGTGCTATATGATGGAATTTTCACTGCAATGTGTAATTCGGTGCACGATGACTTTCTTTACTTCATAACATGGCTGAACATTGTAAATAAATTACTTGATACATATAATAAACTTGGAGATATGGAGAAATACCTAATGTTAATTTATAACACTACACGGATTTGTTGATTTACTTGCTTGAAATACATAACGGATCTTGTGCTCCCAAATAAATATCTAAAATTCAAAAATAGGATTTATGTATTGACTCCTTGAGTTGTCAATCAAATCAATAAACATGTAGCTGCTTCCATTTTACCACATACTCCATTTTATCACAAAACAGTCGACCATTATTGTAACATACACCACATACAACCGAACATAAGAAGCGTTTCGAATAATTCAAAGATCATGAACAGAATGTTTACAGAACATGACAGTATCAATCAGCAGAGAGAAACCTGGCTTATATATCACGCCATACCCACGTTTGGACTTTAAAGATATAGAAATAAAATTATGCTTTACGTGCAAATATTTTTTGACGGAAAACTACGAATTTCCCTAGTTTGGAGATATAAATTGTATATTTGGCGACCAGTATTTTACATCTAAACAGATGAAACAGCAAATCGCATAATGGTTATATGAATAGATATAGGAGGGGAAATTACTGTACCGATGTTCAGTCTCATTAATCAATAACAGAGATACAAATCATGGTAAAAAAAGAATACAATACCGGACACATCGACAAGGTAGGCTTCTCCTTCGATGCATGCATCACCAGTCATGCGCAACAACACTCACTCATAATGTCACAATCAGGAGAAGGGAATAGGACATATGTAAAGTTACAGATCAGATGGTTATCTTGGTATCTAATGATCTCAGAACATGAATAAAACTTGAGACATAAACTCATCGTTTCTTCCGATAAACACATCGTATTGGTAAACACAACCTGATGGTAACCTCATCACTTGTGTAGTGTTGAATTCAGGCATTGTCCATACAACTTTGTTAAAATAGTTTTTGTATCAGTAACAAGTCCCTGAAAATGAAGTCTGTATACTTTAAACATCCCTGTATTTAAAGTACTTAAAGTGGAAACATGCATAGGCATAAAGTTTCATTGGTGGTATGTATACATCATACGATGGGACATAGGGTATGTTGCTGCGTAGCAATTGGAAGTGACCATTAGAAAAATTAAAATCATCACGTCTGTTATATATAGTTTATAAATTTTGAAATTATAAAGAAACTAAGGTTTCAACTCTCTCAGGCAAAGTTAGATGGGTTTGGCTATTTGTTTTAGGTATTTTTGTCATATAGCTCTTCAACTGTTTCGGTACTTATACATCCCTCGGATTTCAAATGTTTGGCTTTGAGCGTTCCTGATGAAGGTGAATCCAGAAAAGCGCTTCGGACGCAGGAAATTATTAAACGTGTTGTTTTCAATTTTTTACATCACTTGGTCGATACCTCTGCTGGTGGACTATCAGTCATCGAGGGTATCATCAGCACAGTAGTCAGTACTTCGGTACTGACATGATTTATAACAAACTTTTCTAAAATTGCCCGTTTATAAATTTTGAAATTATAAAGAAACTAAGGTTTCAACTCCCTCAGGCAAAGTTGACCTTAGATGGATTTGGCTATTTGTTTTAGGTATTTTAGTCATATAGCTCTTCAACTGTTTCGGTACTTATACATCCCTCGGATTTCAAATGTTTGACTTTGAGCGTTCCTAATGAAGGTAAATCCAGAAAAGCGCTTCGGACGCATGAAATTATTTAACGTGTTGTTTTCAATTTTTTACATCACTGGGTCGATACCTCTGCTGGTGGACTATCAGTCTCCGAGGATATCATCAGCACAGTAGTCAGTACTTCGGTACTGACATGATTTATAACAAACTTTTCTAAAATTGCCCGTTTATAAATTTTGAAATTATAAAGAAACTAAGGTTTCATCTCCCTCAGGCAAAGTTGACCTTAGATGGATGCGGCTATTTGTTTTAGGTATTTTTGTCATATAGCTCTTCAACTGTTTCGGTACTTATACATCCCTCGGATTTCAAATGTTTGGCTTTGAGCGTTCCTGGTGAAGATAAATCCAGAAAAGCGCTTCGGACGCATGAAATTATTAAACGTGTTGTTTTCAATTTTTTAATATAGTTCAATTTTGTCCTTATCGATTAAAAGATCAAGATATATAACAAACCTTGTAGTTTGGTAGTTATCGATTAAAAGATCAAGATATATAACAAACCTTGTAGTTTGGTAGTATTCTTAATCACAAGTTCGTTTGGATGTATGACATGAAAGTACTCACTGAAATGTGAGTATTGAGTGAAAATGACATCGTCACTATATCTTAAAGTGAAAGCAAAGAATTTTGCAAAATCCTTTTTCGTTTTTGTCTTTGAGAATGTTCTCTATGAACTCTGTATCAAATAATTACAAAAACAAGTCGGCCAGTAGGGATACAAAATCAGTACGAATTGCATAACCTACTGTCTGTTGAAATGTAATCCACCAGACACAACATTTATGCTGTCTTTAAAACAAAATGTCAATACAATTCAATTCGATGTACTTGTTGGTGATCAGGGTAGGTAACATGTTTGTGCAATTAACCCAAGAGCAAGTCTATATTACTTTCAACATGCATAGACATGTTCGTTCAGTATATGATAACGATATTATTTAATTCAAACGATTCAAAAATACATTATTAGTCAACACTGGTTTTTAGATAATTTCAATACCTATATAACGTTGTTGTTTTCCATGGTTTAGGTCAAATATCTGCTATAAAACTTTTGAATTTGATAGTTGCCATACAAATTGTACGGATGGTATAGTAGAAGTTGGTTAAATGTGTAATCGAATGTTATGTGTTTATCAACAATACAAGTATTAGTTCGTTAATTTGAATTATATACCTATACGGATTGATCTGGGCATTTTTTTTTTTCTCGGAAAAACAGGTCTTTCTTTCGAAGAAACAACATAGACGATACCAAAGTTCAATGAAATGTGCTTCAATGCAAACGGTTATGACCAGTGTAAGGTGATTATTTACCCTGATTTAAATACAAACTACATGACAGTTTACTAAAACATTTTATTTTTTTTATAGTTCCCATATATTTGTCCAATTGTTTTACATGTGTCATGAAAAGATATTGCTTTACACTCGTTATTCTATACTATTTAGTTTGTTCTAAAATGACGCGTTTTGTTTGGGGTTTTTTTTTTCGCTTTGAAAACAGCACTCTGTACTCATTAATTGCTGTTATAATTTACCTCCCATGTAAATCGACATGTATCGTAACGTATGTGCAAACCTGATGTCGACTTCGTTGTGTTCAAATTGAAATCAAAACCAATCCTTCAAACTTGTTCTTCCTATTTAATTCCATAACAAAAAGAATTTCATGCACAAGAGCTTGAAAAAAATTTATAAAATCAAAATAGAATGACCATCCGTGAAATTCCATGAATGATCTCTGCGCATCAACGTCATGTAAAAAAATGACGTCATGCCAATTAAAACTCTCAAGCTGAATGTTATTTCGTTACGCGTATGCTCAAATTTCGGATAACATCGCAGTTAAATTAGTTTTGAGGTAGGTGCTGTTTCAAAAAAAATTTTCTTGCATTAATCGCACATTTCTGGATTTCAGCAAGTCTACAAGGTGACTCACTCTTTATTTACGACATGTCAACTGTGGCTTTTACGGTAAAAAGATTTGGTTGAGGATTATATGAATGGAACACATTTTCCAGCGGTCATTGTCAAAAATGTTCATGCAAGACATGTTTTATACTGTATTTGCCCTGTTGATATATTTAAATTGTATCATTACTATTGCATTAGTTAGTTTCTTTGAAATACCACATCACTTGTGTGTTAGTTTGTTTATTTGAAATACCACATTACTTTTGTATTAATTAGTTTATTTTAAATACCACATACTTTTTATCACTTCGTTCATCTGAAATACCAAACTACTTTTCAATCAGCAGCTACCTATTTTGTCAACACTTTCATTTTATTGATTACTTAAAAGGTATGATCGATTTTATCAAAATATAAAAGAAACGTATTTTAAAAATAAAGACTTAAAAATAAGACTTTTTATTCAGTTGGTCACATGATGCTCACTCGTTTACTAAAAATGTATGAATTGCAAAAGTTTGAAAAAGGGCTTGAAGAGTTTTGTCATGATTTTTTCTTCTATCACTACTAGACGAAAAAAACAACTGTCCATACCAGTAACAGTCGTTCTACGACTGATGTTTGTTAAAGTTGTAACAGTTGTTAAATTTCGCTGTTGGGGTTATTGTCTAACTGTTCTAACTTTAAAAGTGTTTGTCTCTAACATAAATGGACTCGTTCACAGTTTCATTCATATTCTGTAATAAATTCAAAACTATTGTGAAGTTATGTAATTTTTTTTTTTTTTATTATTTTATTTTTTTTTTTTTTTTTGGTCTGGGGGTATCTTTTTGGATATAAAAAACTGTGTGTCAAAGTTCTGGTACTTAATTACCTCCACTCCCATTTCGATGCATTAAATCAAAACTTAACACATAATTAATGATAATCATATATTGTTAAGCAGACCAGTCAATGGTTACCTAAAAAACAGGACTGGTTTTATTGGATATTTTCAAGTCGAAGCAATCTACTGTGAAGGACTGGTTTCGAAGTTAACTTTAGTAGCGGATATAACGTTACCTTTTTCGGCAGTTATAAAAACAGAACAAGGACCAGTTAAGTTTAAAACAAACTATATTGGTTACCAGGTTACACAGTTATAATTATAACATCAATATGATCATGATGTCTAATCATCTATAGGTCGTTAAAAATATGTGAGAAATTATAATGTGGTGATATGTTTTACTTAGAATAGTTTCAAGTCGAATAAATGAACAGTTTTAACGTTATGTAACATTTGTTTCTATGTTTTGTAGATGCGGCAAAGGAGATTAATATTAGTTTGTCTTCTTCTAGTTTCTATAGTCTATTCATACTATTGGAGGTACACGAATGATACAACTACAAATCTTTTGAACGACGCTAAAAGTAAAACATACGTCGCTTATGCAAGACATGCAAAATCAATTAATGATTTCATACGAACGTGTGGGTTAAACGAAGAACCAACTGTCACGAGGACAATTCCGTCATTGCCAAATATAAAGGCGATAAATCCCCTAAATAACCAGGTAGCTAAAGACCTGTGTGTAAAGACAATAAAGGAACGCCCACTTTTTCCTTTAACATTAAAAGAAATACTAAATATGGAAGACTGCATGAAATATAATGAAAATCCAGAAAAATTAGAAAGCTACAGTTGGTACTTTTTTTATGATTTAAGTGGAGTTTTTTTTTCAAAACATAAATAGAAATCCAGAAAGCATTATAATAGAAATTGGCGGCTATGTTGGTAATCATGCGAAGAAACTTGCAAAACAGAATGTTCAAACATACGTAGTTGTAGAACCGATTAAAAAGTATTATGACCAACTGACAAGTAATATGAAGTCCTATGGAGGAAAAACTACTTTTCATTTTTTCAATTTTGGTTTAGGAAAACAATACAGCAAAGTGGCAATTAACGACGATGACGTCCGAACCTCACTATTCAATCTCAACAAAAATACACCTTCAAAAACTATTGATGTATTTAATGTCATTGACTTTTTCGTATATTTGGGTGTTGCATGCGTTGATGTTCAATTGTTGAGTATAAATTGCGAAGGCTGCGAATTTGAAGTCATAGAAGAGTTAGCAACTACAAGTCTGATAGAAAAAGTTGTCAACATACAGTTTCAGCCACATTACGTATATACAAATGTAGGTAATTTCTCTTGTAGATATTGTCGTCTGATTGAATTGTTGTCAAGAACTCATGAACTATCCTACCGATTTAATGTTATTTGGGAAATGTGGAGAAAAAAGTATGGGATTTGATTGAAATGTGATATATGAGTTATCATTTGTACCGATAAAGGCTGTGAACACAGTAATATTTACCATAATAATAGAATAGGATAGATTGAAAAAAAACAACGCTTCCTGACGTAAATGTCTCTTAACTTAATGATCGTGTTTAAGGATATGATTCTCTTCCAATTAATTAAACTTTATTGCGCATTCGTTTAATTCTGAGGTGAAATGTTTTCCCGTATATTAACCAGCGCGCATATGTATACACTTGTTACTTAAGCTGAATTAGAGATAATTAGAGATAATAAAACCTTGTTATGTTCAACTCTTTATTATTTCTTGTCTGTACATAACTTTTGTCTAACATTGTGTTTACAATACTAATTCACGCTCATCGTATATTTGCATTGTCGAAGTCTTAAATTAAGGTTGACGTAATAAAGAAACCACCCTTTTTTTGATTGATTGATTGAATGTTGACTTTTACTCCATTTTGCGCACCCTTTAAAATATCATGGAATCCAATTTCAATTGGTCATAGAAGATGAAGTACCGGGAGAGATATAACAAACTTTGACAGAAAAAGCTGACAATCCTTGTAAATCAGAATCGGAATCGAACGCACCTTTTCGAGAGCAACAGTCGAACTCACAACCCTAGTGTTGACAAACCCATTGATCACTGTAGATGAAATACTCATTCCACTTGATCATCAAGAATACATCAGAATCGGAATCGAACGCACCTTTTCGAGAGCAACAGTCGAACTCACAACCCTAGTGTTGATAAACTCATTGATCACTGTAGATGAAATACTCATTCCACTTGATCATCAATAATACATTTGTTTCCATCGTTTACATGTGTACCAACAATAAAATTAAAGTAGGTATTATTTCGACATGTGTGATCTCTGTGCATTCTCGTCGAGTTTAGTAACATCACCATTTTAAACGCCAGGCTGGGTCAAAATGTCTCTACTAAAACATGCCGTTGCCAATCAGAAGGCAAAAAAGGACATAAAAAAACATATAGAATTATTCTTATGTTGTTACTGAGCAGTCAATGCGTCGGTACTGTCATGATTAATAACAAACGTTTTATAAATTTTCCTCCAAAAAAACATGAAGAAGGTAAATTTCCAACTCTGTTAGGTAAAACTGACCTTCTATAAATGTTGCTATTATTTTAGATCCCTTTTGGTCATATAACTCTGCAGGTGTTTCAGTTCTTATACATCTTTGACTTTCTTATTGTTGGCTTTGAGCATTCAGGATGACGCTCAATCCAGATAAGCGCTAAGAATTCATACAATTTATCAAGGTCTGATCATTGCTTTTGATTGGTATTTGCGATACTTTAACCTATCTACTCGATTCCATCAATGAAATGCACATTATACTTAACAAAGGGCGGAAGATCGCACATAGACATCGAGCACTCTTGAGTCGACATTTTTAAGTAAAAGAAAATTGCAAGACAAACTGCATATTACATAAACACTACATAGAAAACTAATGAGGACACAATACAATCATAATAAACAAGCATAGAAATATCAATAGCTGTGTTAGGGTAAGACAAACAGACTTTAATGTGGATTTAAAATAGTGTTACTAATGAATGCTACGCATTCGTCCACATTCGTTTAAGTCACACAAAACAAAAGAGGCTTATGTTACGAACATATTCCAGGTATTCTTTGAAACAGATATTTAAGAAAGGTCATCCAAATCATTATGACGTCATTTAAACTTTCAAAGTGGTGCATTTAGTTTTACGATGTAGTTCAATAGTTCAACAAAAAGACACATACAGTTTTTGTACAAACACCATTTTATGTCTTTATTATATTTAAGAGTCACATATATAAGCCAAACAGTATCAACCAAGAACTTTAAAATTGACAAAGCTTTATAAAATGAAGGGACAAATTGATTTTATACAAATAAATCATGTCAAGGAGATAACACGAAATTGTCTTACGATATTCCAGTGCTTCTATTTCCTATCATGTTTTCCTTGATAGAGGGTTGCTGCCCACAAGGAAGCTATTAAACCAAGCGTTCCAAGTGGTGAAGTTTAAATCATCCCTTCGTAAGTTTTACGGGCGCCATCACGAGTTGGTTGACCGTTATGGAATATCCGTTTGACAGATGATATAGTCCAGCGGCTAAGTTCAATATTTCGGCACGATTGATCATTTTATGGTAAAAGCATGAAACTTTGCACAGCGTTAGATATGACGTTAACAAACATTTTCGGATATGGAGTCATCTCAAAAAAATTCCATAATGGCCACCAAATTCCAAATGGCCGCCAATAGCCAAGAGGTTAAGTCTAATATATTGATATAATTGATCACTTTATAGTAAAAAGCATGAATCATTGCACAGTGTTAGTTATGATGCTTATAATAAATTTTGGATATGGAGCCATCTAATCAAATAGCAAAATGGCCGCCAAATTCAAAATGGTCGCCGAAGTTCAATTTATTTGTATAATTGACCACTTTATAGTAAAAGCATGAAGCTTTGCACAATGTAAGTTATAATGCTAATGAAAATTTATGCAGATGGAGCAGTTTATAAAAATCCATAGAAGATTCTGTACCCCAGTCATTGATTTCTTTGGTCGATATGATTCAGTTTAGACCCAACATTCAGGATCGTTCATATTCGTAGTCAACATTAACAACGATTCAGCTTCTGGTGTATAATTGTACAAAGAAACTATCCGTCATATAAAAGATTATAAACCCCAAGTACGTGCTTATTTGGGAATCATGATCCACTGTAAGACTAGAAAATGTAATGTAGTAGACAATTTTTTTCAAACTAGGACTAATTGTTTCCTATGACAGATTGTTAGAAATTTCTAGTTTGTTGGCTAATGATGTTTGTCGTCGTTATATCCCTGAAGGTATTTGTTTGCCCTACCCATGTACTGCAAAATGTATTTACTTCGTCTGCTGTTAACAACATTTATCACAATCCAAGAAGTATATCATCAAAAGATTCATTTCATGGTACCGGTACTAACATTCAAACATTTTTCGAAAGATATTCAAGGAGTTTTGCTAACATCTGACCAATTTGAAGCTATTTTAAAATGCCAGTCAAAGACAGTATCCTTTTAACCAGAGAGTTATTCAAATCGTCCAATAGCTGTATTGAGATTCAGCAAAACAGATATCCCAATAACGGAATGAGAAATATCAATCCCAGTTGCATTAAAAAGGGAAGTCAAATGGCTCAAAGATTTTGAAGAATATTCAAGTATTCAGGCTAAAGTTGGGACAATCATTTCATGGTCCGCATATCATGCTTCATCGTTGCTAGATGGAAATAAACTACCAGCAATGTCTGCCTTTCTACCTTGGTTTTACGATCAGGCTTAATCCGTTGCAAAATAAAGAAAAAATCCATTAAAACATATTTTTACGAACGCTGCAAAGGCGGACCGAAAAAACATCTTCTTGACTACTTTAAAACAAATAAAGGCAGCAACTTCACATAAAATAGCATTCTAAAACAAGCAAACCAGTTATCACAAAACCAACTATAGACCAATTATTTCAACATTTTCGAACGAGCAATTTACAACCAGCTTGTCGAATACTCAATACACACTTTCGACCGAAATACGGATATCAAACTACTCTACTCAGAATCATTGGGGATTAGAAAATGGCACTAAATCAAAATAGATGTATTGGGTCAATACTAATGGATCTTTCTAAGGCGTTCGACTGTCTTCTTCGCGATCTTTTGCTGCTTAAGCTTGAAGATTACGGTCTTTCAACTTCTTCTCTAGAACTGATACAAAATTATTTATCTAAAAGGAAACAATGTGTTCGAGTTGGCTCCATTCTGAGCAATAGGCAAAATATATACAAAGGAGTACCACAAGGCTCTATTCTTGGTCCTTTACTTTTCAACATTTTCTTAAATGATATGTTTGACGTCACCACACATAGTTCACTCTACAATTATGCTGACGACAATACACTTTCTTATGCAAATAGGGATACAAACACTTGAAAAAAGTAAAATCACAAAAATACTGAAATCCGAGGAATATTCAAAACGGAAAGTCCCTAATCAAATGGGAAGATCAAAAGCTCAAACACATCAAACGAATGGACAACAACTGTCATATTCCTGACTTGGTACAGGCATTTTCTTATGTAGATAATGGTGGATTAAACCTGATTTTATAGCTAGTTAAACCTCTCACTTGTATGACAGTCGCATAAAATTACATTATATTGACAACAATGTGTGAACACAAGAAACAGACACTATATGTAAAAATGTCAAAAATTGGGGTACAGCAGTCAAAATTGTGTTATAATCTTAATCACTATAAAAACAAACAAATATGTAACAAAGAAGAACAAAAAGGCATATAGACAAAGCACAAAGACAGTTTGGCTCTGATAAACTAGTTCTCTTCCAATCAAATGAAGGTAAACTCTTAAAAATTTCAAGCTTTGGCAATTGGCAAAAACATTACATTTGATCTGGCAGGTAACAAAATAAAATGTGAAAAGGAGGTCAAACTATTAGGCATCACCATTGACTTTGAACTAAATTTCAACACACATATATCCAACATCTGCAAAAAAGCATCCAGACAACTTAATGGCTTAAAAAGATTTGGCAAATACTTGAATACACTGGGAAAATTAACAATGTATCACTCCTTCATTATGTCAAACTTTAATTTCTTCTCATTGTCCAGGCATTTCTTCAGCGAGGCAAACACTACTAAAATTGAAAAAGTACAAGAAAGAGCACTCAGCTTCATTTACCAGGATTACACTATCATATATGATGATTTACTTTTAAAATAAAAAATGCCATCACTTAAAGTTAGACGCATAAGATAGTTATCAAAGGTACCAGGATAATAATTTAATACGCCAGACGCGCGTTTCGTCTTCATAAGACTCATCAGTGACGCTCAGATCAAAATAGTTATAAAGCCAAACAAGCACAAAGTTGAAGAGCATTGAGGAC